GGAGAAGCATTGATCCTCAACTCATGCCAGGTGTGGAGTTGAGAATGGCTAGGGGAATTGGATCCCAGCCTAAATCCGTATTTTTCCAGAAAGGAAATGAATGGCCTGGGACCAGCAGCAGAGGAGAAATGAACAAGACAGTCTTCCTCTTTGGCCTCAAATGTAAATTGCTCCAGAAACCAACAAAGTTCTCCCAATGCAAGGACACCTGTCTACATCCAGGAGTAAGGAGAAATACATGCGCACATAGGCCCTTTATCCCCATCACCAAGCCTACCTCTTGTTTCAGTACATTGATTTCTTCAAGGATGTACTTAGCGAGATCTTCAGTTTTATCTGTGGAGGTGGGTTCTGGTATATTTAGAATGGCACCATCTTGGGAATCTTCTCCCAGGAGAACTGGTGTGGGAAGAGCAGTAGCCATCACTAGGAGCAGCCCCAGGGAGAAGGCAACTGGACTGAAGGTGCCTGTGCCGGAGGGAAGGAAGGGAGAGCTGTGAGTGAGCAAGCTGCCTGCACAGCTGGGCGCTTGCTCTGGCTGGTGGCAGCCAGCCAGGACTTGGCCACACACGCTTCCCTCACACAAGCTCTAGGCAGCTTGCCGGAGCTCACAGGGCTCAGGATTTCCTTCACTTACTTGTGGACAAGGAGGTCATAGCTGGGTTTCTGGAGGGCAGATGGAGCGCTCTTTCGTTCCTGGTGGGCTCAAGGACAGAATGAACCTCAGACATCCCCAGTCTCATATTTATTGGAGGTTGAAACTCTAATATTGAGACTCATGGGGAAATCCCACATTTGATAAATCTTTGTTGGAGGGTAGGAGGTGGGGACAGAACGGGTGGGGCTGATTGGAAACCTTATTAAGATTGTGTAATGTGACGTCCTTTAGCATCACCGAATTACAAATGGGGAAAAAAGTGCAGCTTAAGTCATCAATGAGGCTATCTCTAAGAAGCAAGATCACTCTTCCTTTACTTTCTTTTTTAAAATTTTTTTTAGTGACTCAGCATTTTGGCATGTCTTGAGAAAGAAAGCTGGTCACGTAGGACGTTTTACAAGGAGGGGAAAAATGAAGAAGCTTAAATAATACTCTAATTCCCGAATTAACAGGCTAGGAGTGAGTTTTTCTTTATTTATAAATAATAAATGTTCTGCCCTGAGTGTCTTCAGACTGACTATACCATAGCCCCTGGTTCCAAAGAAGATATAACACTGCCTGCGAATCATCTCAGTACTTCCATTTCGTGACTCTCAATCTGACCGGAGGGATTGCAGAACTGCCAGGACACCCTGAATCTCATGCAGTTGTTCTAAGAGTCTAAAGATGGAGTCTGAGGTACATGGCCAGCTTTAGGATCTCTGCCAATATCCTGTTTACTGCTTCTGCCCACTTTGGAGAGGTCTGCTGCTGCCCTGTTCTCTCTCTCTCTTGTAGCCTTTTGGGAACCTCCCAGTGAAGACTTTGATCTCTGTGCCAGAAGGTGGCCCTGTGCTGTTCATTCCTGGACTCCTGGGACAGCACAGGATGCCTAGAGGAGCCTGAGATCTGCTAGAGATCACAAGTTACTGATGTCCACTTGGTTCAGGGAAGAAATGAGAATATTACTCACCTTTTGACAAGGATGTCAAAAGAAGACCTTGTGGCATCTTCTAGAGCTTGTGTTCACAGCTCTCCTCACTGTGTGACTTGACTTGAATCTGATAATGGTTGGAAACTACTAACGCACACAGGGCTGTCCACTCTGAATCACACTCTTCTCCTATGTTCACAACTTTCTTATTGGATCCAGCTTTAATAGGCACCACTTCCCTTGGGATGACATCTCTTGCAGAAGGGTTCTTGGTCTCAGGCAAATAAGCTCTAGAGTAGTCCACTCCACCAGTCTTCAGATACAAAGACAGTTCTGAGGATGGCACCAGGTTGAAATTACCTAGGACCTCTTCTCAGCACTAAAATATTTACAAAACAGTGTTATCATCACAATCAGCCTCTCTGCTTCGCAAAGATCCCTTCAGGATTGCTAAAGCAATGACCTCTATTATGGTATTTAAAATATGAATGGATTTACTCAAGTTTTGCGTTATGCAGGACATTTTAGGACCCACGGGTAGGGGAAAGTGAGGTTTTCCATTCTTTCACTGGATGTCTACATGGAGCGGTAGCAGTTTTCTTGTGGTAGCAGAGAATTTTAGTTTGAAAATGAAAATGAGGGAGGATGGTTGTATGGTTTCATTTTTAGTGCTCTTGGTATTAAGCAAATTAGACCTCCTGCACTGAATGAAGCCACTTCTCTAGGCTCCCCTGCAATGTGGCATTGCTTTTACTTTTGTATCTGTTTTTTAGAAAATATGACTCAGTAAATGGGAAGCATGTGGGCATGCTGCAATATTCATATAAGACATCAGGGCTTACAGGGAACTAGCAGTTAGCGTAATGGCTATGTCGCTGGACTCCCACGTAGTCGACCGCGGTTCACGTCCCGGACCCGGTGTCTTAAAACTCACGCCGGGCGCGTGTGCGTGCGTGCCCAAGATCCCGAGAGGAGAATGGAGGAGAAGGGATTGCGGCGTGACCATCCCCCCTGGGGGGTGATTTCTCGTTTTCTGTCTCTATGTCTCTCTCTGTCTGTCTGGCGAGCGCACGCGCCCTACAGTGAAAATCTCTCCAAAAAAAAAAAAGAAAAAAGACATCAGGGCTTACAGAGAAAAGGCCATTTCTTCCTTTTCCCGGCTCCATTTTCCATGTGTAGCACCTAATTTCCAGGATTTTCAACTAAATCCTATTACTCTACTCTGGCAAAGTTTTTCTGGCTGCTCAGGTAATCACTTCTGTATTTACATTATACATGCACATGCAAAAATATTTCAGCAGTCTGGATGCCACCCACACATTTGTTTGCAAGCGGGCACAGGATGGAGCACAGGCCCTTTGGTTTCACAGCTTAGGTTTAAATTAAGCCCAGTTTGCCCTTGCTAGCTTCTGAGCCTGGCTAAGTTACCCCAAGAATCTGTACCATTATTTGTTTATCTATAAAACTAGCATACTAGAGCTAGCCAGTGGTGTGATGGTTTAAGCGGCTGGATCCTACATAGCCAATAGACTGTTCAAGTCCTAGACCCAGGATCTTGAAAAATCCACCAGTTGTGTGTGTGTCCTTGCCCAAAATCTTGAGAGGAGAATGGAGGAGAAGGGATTGCTGCATGGCCATTCCCCCTGGGAGGTGCTCACTTGCATGTACATGCTCGTTCTTGCTCACTCTCTGTTTTTCAGGGAACACATGTACCCTACAGCAAATTAAAACAAAAAAAAAAAGAAAGAAAAGAAAACTGACATAATAATAGTTCTTTCCTGATATGACTGCTGTGAAAATTGAATGAGAAATGAGAAGGAAGTGAGAAAAAATTGCTGATACATAGTAATCCTGTATTGGATCCTAGCTCTTTGGGACATTCTTTGGCTAAGAGTCCGCCTTGAAGAACCCTATCAGCTTGGCTCTGTCAGGGCACCTGATGTCTTGTCTGTGAAGGAACTAAAGCCAGTGATGAATTAATCTCCCATTCACTTTTCCTCTGCAGAAGTAATGTTCTGTGTTTTGTAGAACAAATCATATAGCACAAAGTAGAAAATGAAAAAAAAAAAGGAATTTTCCCTCTATTTTGAGAATATTAAGTTTTCCAAAGTAGGTGCCTTGAGTTAGATAATTGGCCCAGCTTCTTTCTTGCTCCTAGACCTTTCACAAAACCTCTGCTAAGTGTTTTTATGTCAGAAATCCAAAGCCTTCTCTATGTATGGCCATCATCATGATTCATACTCTCAAAGCAGTCCTCAAGAAGGAGGGTACCTAACTTAACCCCAGATTTTGTGCTTGTGGCAGCCAGGAAAGGGCAAGTTTTTTGATGGTGGGAATCCATGTCTGTGTGTCTGCCCCATGTGACACCATGTGCCCCATATAACACCTTGCACATTGCATGTGTCTATTAGTGTCCATGCTTTGAGGTGGCAAGAGCTAGTTGAGAAATGAACTCTCCCTTACTCCAATCTTTAATGCAACACCCATCATTGTACCCTGAAAACTTCCTTCTTTTGCATCTCAATAAGTTTTTAACTTGGAAAGTTCATCCCTTATATTAAAATTTTTTTTTAATATAGCTGTTTAGGTTCATAGCAAAACTGAGACGGTACAATACAGAGATTTCCCATATGCCCCTTATTCCAAATGTCCCTTATATTTTAATATGTATGAATGCTGGTCATACTGTCAGTATTTATTAACTGATACCTTAGTTGCTGGATTTCACCATGGCTGATTTCAGGTGACTGCTACCTGAGACTAAGAGGGGCAGGACAAGTGGGAGTATGTGAGAAGAAACCAAGGCAGCTTTGCATCCTTCACCACCTTGTGTAGGGCTGGCAGGTCCTGTCTGCCTATAATTACTTTCTTGTATGTGAGTAAAGTCCAGTTCAAAGAGTCCATTAATTCATTTTAGGTCAAGAGGAAAATAGAATTTCTGTCTGGCAGTTAACTCTCAGGAGAAGTGTTCTCCATATTTCACAAGTTTAAGATATGGTGTTGTATTCTCTGTATTTTGGAGGTGGATATGGGCAGGTCTGTGATTTGATGGGAGGGAGTGTCGTAAGAAAAAAGGGAACACACTGGGCACTAAGAAACTCACAGTTGTTGTCAGAATGCAGTTTTACTTGTCACCGAGTCAAAAGAAGTTTGCAAACTGAACCAGTGGGTAATTAATCCTAGTGGGTAAATACTGGACCTGAAGACTCTGGGACATGCCCCTGTTTTGAGAAAACGTAGCATTACTTGGGAAGAGAAGACTAGGGAAATGTGGTATGTCCGTTTGTAAAGAACCAGCTGATTGCAGAGGGTAGCCAGGCCTGGTGACCAAAGCCCTTTATTTTAGTGTCATGGTCCAGTCTCAGATCTAGCCCCACGGCCTTAGTTCTGATCCCCTGTTGAAGGTAATGGTGACCCCTTTGTGTGGCCTCAGCTTTTTTTTTTTTTGAATTATGCCAAAGACATTTTATTTTATTTATTTTTTATTTATTTTATTTAAAATTTTTTATACATTCATCACATTATTTAGCTTACAAAATGAACATTTCAATATGTGAACATTTCTTCCCTGTCCAGTTGATCAAAATATCTTCAACTGATAACACCACACCTCCTCATCCCATCAATGCTCTGCCTCCAAATCCCTTCTCCAAATGTCCTTCCTTAGGCCCCACTCCTCCACACACACCACATCTGGCATTCATGCCCATCTCTTGTGTTTGTACAAACTTTAGTCAATCAGTTCCAGTCATAGAGTGCAGACACTTGGTATATATTAAGTGGGGACATACAATGTCTCTCCATAGCCTGGCTTGCTTCACTCAGCAGTAAATTTTCCATATTCTTTCACTTTCTGTCAAAAGCCAGGGTTTTGTTGTTTTTTGTTTTGTTTTGTTTTGTTTTTATGGCTGAATAGTATTCTGTAGAGTATATGTGCCACAGTTTTTCAATCCATTCATCCGTACGGGGGCATTTGAGTTGGTTCCATGTCTTAGCATGTCTTAGCAATCGTGAATAGTGCCACAATAAACATTGAT